TTTTGTGTGAGGAAATTCAGGAAACGGGAAACGTGTTTATAACACATCTAAGTGTGGTACTTGGCTTGTAGTTGTTCTCAGAGAGAACACTTATGTAAGCAGAGTTGGATTAGCCTTTATTTTAAAATTAATATTAATCTAAAATTAATATTAATCTAATACTAATATTAATCTTTTGGATTAATACAGAATTCTCATTTTTTATACTCTTGTCTTTTATATAATTAATATCTTGCATTAGTGTGGTGCATTTGTTATAATGGGTGGGTTAACACTGTATTTAACAAAGTCCATAGTTCAATATTAGGGTTCAATCTGTATTGTACATTGGCGAGTTTGGACAAACCTTTATGTATGCACTATTACACTATTGTCCAGAGCAGTTTCCCTTCTCAAAAACTCTCCTCTACCCTTGGCAGCCATCCAATTTATTTTTCTCAAACCCAGAGGGGTGGGCTCTGGGAACTACATGTGATGCCAGGGATTGAGCCTGGGTCAGCCATATGCAAAGCAAGCATTCTACCTATTGTACTGTCACACCAGCACACAACTTTTAATTGTCCCTATGTCTTTTCCAGAACATCAGTTTGAATTATACAGTAAGCATCTTTTCATATATTTTTTCCTTAGTCACAAATATTTATAGTTTGTTTTCTTATTTTTGGGCCACACCCAGCAGTTCTTAGGGCTTACTCCAAGCTCTGCACTTGGGAATCATTCCTGGCAGGCTGGGGAGACCATATTGGGTGCCAGGGATAGAACCCAGGTCAGCCTCATCCAAGGAAAGCACCCCACCAACTGTCCTATCTCTCCAGCCTTGTAATACATAACACATGTGAAATAAAGTTCCACCATGTCTGTTTTTGTATGTGTGTGTGTGTGTGTGTGTGTGTGTGTGTGTAGGGAGGGGCGGGGGAGGGCAGATACTCTGCTGTGCTAAGGATTTACTTCTGGCTCTGTGATCAGGGGTCACTGCTAGCAGGGCTCAGAGGACCATGTGCAATGCTGGAGATCTAACGGAACTGGCAGTGTGCAAACCAAGCGCCTTACCCACTGTACTATCACTATGGCCCTCCACAGAATGTGTGTGTGTGTGTTTGTGTGTGTGTGTGTGTGTGTTTGTGACATGTGGCAATACTTCAGGGCTGCTCCTGGTCGGAGAAGGAGGCCCCCCAATACAACCATGCAGTGCTGGGATTGAATGTGAGGCTCCTGTAGGCAAAGTGTGCACTCCAGTCCTTTGAACTCTACTCAGCCTCTGCAGAGTTTTCAGATCTTTCCTTCTCCTTGCTTCTGCCCCCCACCCAACACTAGGAAATGTTTGTATAAACTGTGCATTTAGCGTTAAACTATCAGTTAAAGAACAAACGAACAGATATCAGGTCCCTGATGGCCGTCACATAGGCCACTGACATTGCACAATGGTATTATCTTAAGTTTTACAAAGTGTGCGTGATCAGGCCTCAGTGACTTCATTGAATGACTGATGGTGGCAGGATGACTACATGACTAGATCCCTTCTCCCCCACCAGACCACTAGACTTTTCTATTTTTGCCTACTTCTTCCACTAGCCCTCTGTAGCCAGAAAGCCCCAGCCTGAGTAAGAGGGTTGTTATTTTTTAATTAAAAACAAATCCCTCCCCGCGCCCCCCTTATGCTTTGTTGTGGTAGCAATGTCTGGTACTTTCCCACTTGGCTGCATTGCTCACACACACTTGGTTCTGGGGTGTTGTGGAACCCAGGATCACAATGGTAGTGCTGCCAGGGATTGCTGCACTCCACGATGTGGGGTTATGCCAGGGACTGAGCTCACAGGCTTTTGTCCACAAACAGGTTAAAGAAAAATGTGTTTGGGGGTGGGGACAAGTCTATCATCTCAGATTGCTAGCACTTGAATAAAACCTGTTTTTCTCTCTTTATTTTGGTTTGGTTTTGGGGCCACACCCAGCGATTCTCAGGACTTACTCCTCACTCTGAGCTCAGAGAGCACTCCTGATGGTGCTTGGGGACCATATGGGTGCTGGAGATAGAACCTCGGCCTCCATGTGCAAGACAAGTGCCCTACAAGCTGAACAACTGCACCGGCCACCAACCTATATTTCTCACACCAAAATTTGTCTCTTCTGGGCTTTGGAGAATTTAGCAACCAGGACAGTTTTTTGGTTTTGTTTTGTTTAGGCCACACCTGGCAGTGCTTGTTCAGGGGCTATTCCTGGCTCTGTGGTGAGGAATGCCCCTGGCAGTGCTCAGGGGACCATATGTGGTGCCAGCAATCGAAACAGTAGTAGCATGCAAGGCAAAAACCACAACCCCTACTCCCTGACCCTCAGACATTTGACTCTGGTAACATTATGAAAATGCTATTTTGCATTCATGTGCAGACTTTTGTGAGGACATAAGTTTCCCAATCATCTCAGTGACTATTGAGGGGCAGAAGTGCTGGAGCACAGGTTTAGTTTTGTAAGAAACTGCCAAACTGTTCTCCTTTTTGTTCTTTTGGACGGGGGGCTGGGGCACCATAGGTACACTTAACCTTGCAAGAGGAGGCAGGGGATTTGCAGTCTCAGAGATAAATCCCACATGATCTTGGTGCCATCTGACAGTAGGGAATAAACTTAGTTCAGCCCTTTGAGATATATTCTGGGACCCAGACTGTATTCCAATGTGGCGGTACCATTTTGCATTTCACCAGCAATGAAGGAGAGTTCCTGATGTTCCATATCTTTAGGAGCCTTTGTTCTCAGGGTTTTGGATTTCAATTTTTTCTTTTGTTTGGGGGCCATGCCCAGAGTTGCTCAGGGGATCATATGCAGTGCTGGCTTTAAAGTGGGTTTGGCTGCATAGAAGGCGAGCACCTTAACCCCAAGTACTACCTGCAGGCCCTCAAACATTTATTTTTATTTTCCAGTTTTCGGGCCACACCAGTGATACTGAGGAGTTACTCCTGGCTCTGAACTCAGTAGTCCTGGCGGAACTCAGGAGACCATATGGGATGTCAGGGATTGAACCAGTTTCCACTGTATGCAAGGCAAAGGCATTAAACACTATTCAACTGCTCAGCCCTCATTTTTTTTCAAACATTTTTAATAAAACTTTTTTTTTTTTGCTCCAGTGGGTTATCTCATTGTTCTTATTCAGAATTCCCTAAAGAACTAAGATATTAAGCTTTTTTTTTTTTTTTGACTTTTTGGGTCATACCTGGCAATGAACAGCAGCTACTTACTCCTGGCTCTGTACTCAGGAATTACTCCTGGTGGTGCTTGGGGAACCATATAGGATGCTGGTAATTGAATTTGGGTCGGTTGTGTGCAAGGCAAACACCCTACCCGCTGCACTATCGCTCCAGCCCCCAGATATTAAGTTTCTTTTATTTTTTTTTGGGGGGGTGTTTTTCGGTCAGCATTGCTCAGGACTTACTCCTAGTTCTGTGCTCAGCAATCATGCATGGTTTGACTCTGGAGACCATAGATGGAGCTATCTGCCACATACAAGTCAAGATCCTGAACTCCTGTACCATTTCTGGCACGCCCAATTAGCCTTCAAAAACCTATGCTTTGTTCAGGTCAACACCTGTTGATACTTAGGGGCTCTTTTGGTCACCCCACGGTGTTTAAGAATTTAGTCATGGCTCTCTACTCAGGAATCACTCCTGCTGATGCTTGGAGAGCTATATGCATGCCAGGAATCCAACGTGGGTCAGTGCAAGGCAAGTGCCTTACCTGTCATACTACCTCTCCAGACCTCAGGAGCTACTCTTAGCTTGTTGCTGGGGTGTTAAGGAAGGTGCTCAGGGGGCCATGCGGTACCCTTCATCTAATCCTATCAGCAATGCAAGTGCTCCAGCCCTCTGAACCATTGTATTTTAAATGTGTGTGTGTGTGTGTGTAAAATATTCTTTCCCCTTACACAAAAATGTTACACCTGGGCAGGAAGATGGTATAGCAGTTAAGGTGTGTGAGTGTAGAACCCGGTTGGATCTCTGTACCGTAAGGTGCCCCCAAAATAACGAGAGGCTCCCCATTCCCTCTCACACAGCACCGTGTCATTAGGCCTATCCTTGCCCAACTGACCTGCTTGGGGGGGCCATACTATCCTGTCCGGCTATAAGACAGAGTGACACCTGTAAACACAAAACAAGGCGCATTCCTTTCTCTGCCTAGTGAGCCAGTACCTATCTTTTTTTTTTTTCTTTTTGGGTCACACCCGGCGATGCACAGGGCTTACTCCTCGCTCATGCACTCAGGAATTACTCCTGGCAGTGCTCGGGGGACCATATGGGATGCTGGGAATCGAACCCATGTCCTAACCGCTGTGCACCGCTGTGCTATTGTTCCAGCCCCAATACCTATCATCTTAAACATTTGTAAACTTTGTAGCAGAGGAAAGGTAGAAATTTTCCGAAAATTACGATTTCCCGGAACCACACCCCGTCGCCATGCAGCTCTTCCCCAACCGCCCCGTCCGGGCTTCACGCCCCCTGAGGAGAGGATTAGAGAGACTGGTTTTCTTTTTTGGGGGGGGGTTTGCTTTTTGGGGGTCACACCCGGCGATGCTCAGAGTTACTCCTGGCTCATGCACTCAGGAATTACTCCTGGCGGTGCTCGGGGGACCATATGGGATGCTGGGAATCGAACCCGGGTTAACCGTGTGCAAGGCAAACGCCCTACCCGCTGTGCTATTGCACCAGCCCCAAGTCTGGTTTTCCTTAGGCGGCGTCATGGCTCTGCGGAGGCCTGAGGGAGCCGCACAAGGAAGCTACAAGCAGGGGAGGCCTGAGACGAGCGCGGGCCCAGGGAAGCAGAGGCAGCACCAAGCCAGACGGGAGGGGAGGCGGCGGCCGCTGGAGACGCCCGTCCAGGACGCCAGCTCGACTGCACCGGAAAAGGGAGAGCCCTGCCCTCGCCCCGCCCCCTGCCGCCAAGCAGGGCCGCCCGTGCCGCCTTTTACGACAGTCCCGCGCTTTCCGGCGCGGCTGCTGAGGTGTCGTGGGCGCGGGGGCGGGGCTCCACCTGGCCCTGGCGGCGGTGCTCGGGGCTGCTGCGGCTCTGCGGGCTCAGCGGAGGGATGGCCGAGTCGGTGGGGTTGGCTCGGGCCACGCCCGATCCAGGTGGGTGTCCTGCGGCGGAGGACGGCGCTGCTCAGTGGGACCGCGGCGGCGGAGCGCCCCGAGGACTGGGGCTTGGAGGAGAGATGGGGGGTTAGAGGAGAGATGGGGGGCTTTGCGGGACCATGCAGGAGGGACTTCACTGCAAGTATTTCTGGTACTGAACCAGGTAAAGCAGACGACCTGCTGCTGGGTCCGTGATTTCTGGGATTTGCACATATATACATAAGTATGTATATCTATCTTTGCAAACCCCAGAAATATATGTACATATATACACATATATATTTGCACACCCCGGTATAATTATATATATTTGTAAACCCCAGAAATTGTGTGTGTGTGTGTGTGTGTATCTTCACACTTGTTTATGATTGCAGGTCAAGTACAAAAAGCAAAGGTTGCACAGATCTCAGGACCCAGGCAGGGAGGCTGGATGGGCAAACTGCTGGGTTTTGAGGGGACCGATTTGTCCAGCTGGGAGAGGCTGGTGAGCCTGCTGAATCGACCCACGGATCCTGCAGGCCTGGCCGTCTTCCGGTTTCTCTTTGGTAAGTGGGCGGGACCTGGTGGGGTGGGGGCCTGGGAAGAGTGGCAGTCTTGCATTGTCCCTGAGGATAACACTGCCAAACATTGCCCTCCCGTCCAAACATTGCCCTCCCGTTGTTCATCGATTTGCTCGAGCAGGCCCAGTAGTTTCCATTTTGAGACTTATTGTTACTGTGTTTGGCATATTGAATATGTCACAGGTAGCTTGCCAGGCTTTGCCATGTGGGCAAGATACTCTCGGTAGCTTGCCGGGCTCTCCAAGAGGGGTGGAGGAATCGAACCTGGCTCGGCCGGGCTGGCTGCGTGCAAGGCAAACGCCCTACCACTGTGCTATCGCTCCAGCCCTTGCTGACATGAGAGGTTAGAGAGGTCTTTGTGGAGTTTAGGAGCAAACCTGGCTTTGTTTCCGCAGATGAGGGTTTGAACACCTGAACCTCGAAAAAGAGCCCATAGGAGATAGAGAGGCAGAGGAACAGGGACCTGGTTTGCTTATGGCATGAAGTTGCCCAATTTCTCTGCAGAGGACTAGATTTGAGAGAGAGGGCAGGGGTTAATGGGTGAACTTTTCAGCTGTGACTCCCATGTCCAGAACTTCCTAGTGCATAGATAGCCTACAGCCCCTGTGCTTGCAACAGATTCTGGATGTGATGAATCTGCTTAGCCCAGTGGCTTGGAACCCGGACAGTTCTGTTCTTTGGGTGATGGCTGGCAGTGTCTGGAGATACTTCTGGCACAGTGGTGAGAAGGGAAAATGGATGTGTGTGTGTAGAAGCCAGGGATGCTGCTAAATACTTGCAATGAGCAGGATAGCCTCTCTCAGCCAGTAGTACTTAGTGCAAAATGTGAGTACTCCTGGAGTTGAAAAGCCCTGCCTTCAACTAGTTCCGGCTTCCTCACCTTAAGCAGCCCTTCTGCTTCCCCTAGGGTTCTGGCAGAATGTATTCTGGGTGTGCCAGGAAGAGAAAGAGGCGAAGAAGCACTGTATTGGGCACCTTCACATAGTGCTTTGGGCCTTTGTAAATTACTTTCCAGAACCTCATGAGAGAGAGGATAGAGAGAGAGAGAGAGTGCTACTCAGCTTTGTAGCATTTTGATTGCTTTTCTCTAATCCTCTTTGCAACCCTGCGAAGTGTTCTGCACCCCTTTCCCAAATGGCGAGTGGAGGCACTGATATCTGTGATTGTACCCTTGGCATGATGGCGAGCACAGAGAAGTCACTGCATTATTGTTGAGTGCAGAGCCAGGGCCAGGGAAGAAAGAAGTCTTTGGAGCTGGGCGCGCTAAACTGTTACAGGGCTTCTTTGACTTGAGACCCAAGGACCCCTTTCTTCCACCTTCTCAGGGCTGCTGATGGTGCTGGACATCCCCCAGGAGAGGGGTCTCAGCTCCCTGGATCGAAGATACTTGGATGGACTGGACGTGTGCCGCTTTCCCTTGCTGAACGCCCTGCAACCACTGCCACTGGATTGGATGTACCTTGTCTATACCATCATGTTCCTGGGTGAGGAGACTCTGGGATACATGGCCGTGTTGATGGGCTTCTTCACACAGAGACACAAAGCAAGCTGGTGAATGGCCAATGTCTTGGGTTTCTTCCATCATTTTCCTTTTTTATTTTGTTTGTTTGTTTTTGGTCCACACTTGATTATGCTCAGGGATTATTCCTGACTCTGCACTCAGGAATTACTCCTGGCAGTGCTCGGGAGGTGGTATGGGATGTTGGGGGTTGAACCTCGGTGGTTGTGTGCAAGACAAGTGCCTTACCTGCTGTATAATCTCTTTGGCCCCTCTTACTTTATTTCTACCATGTTGCATTGTTTCAATCTTCTGATCTGTGTGCCATGTGAGCTGTGTCTTCCTAACTCTTAAAAATATTCAAAGAATATTTAATCTTCATATCTGATTTTATCTGCTTACAAAACTTTTGTTAACTTTTATTTATTTATTTGCTTTTTTGGGTCACACCTGGCGGTGCACGGGGTTACTTCTGCCTCTGCACTCAGGAATTACTCCTGGCAGTGCTCAGAGGACCATATGGGATGCTGGGAATCGAACCCTGGTTGGCCATGTGCAAGGCAAATGCCGAACCCGCTGTGCTATTGCTCCAGTCCCTGATAGCTTTTCTTAGTCTCACCTGTAGCCTGTTCTCAGGGGCCTGGGGCCGTTGGTAACCTCTTGACCTCTTAATTGTCTTTCCTCACAAATTCTAGGGGCACTGGGCATAATGCTGGGTCTTTGCTACCGGCTAAGCTGTGTGTTATTCCTGCTCCCCTACTGGTATGTGTTCCTCCTGGACAAGACGTCGTGGAACAACCACTCCTACCTGTATGGTTTGTTGGCCTTTCAGCTGACCTTCTTGGATGCAAACCGCTGCTGGTATGAATCCAGGGGGAAGATGGGGAGAGTTTGGCTGCACTAGGGTGATGTCCAGAGCTAAGGACCCATGGAGGGTCTCGAATTTGTCCCAACACGTGTCTTTTTCAATCTTGCTTTGCAAAGTGTGGTCACAAGGTCACATTTTGATTGGATGGACTCGGGAGGGGGACGGATCAATAAAGTTGGAGCACTTTGTATGAAAAACAACAACAAAACAACATTCCCCCTTCCCCCCCTCCAAAGAAAAGAGAGCAAAATGGCTCCATTCTCCTATTTACTCTCCATTTCTCCCCAGGTGCCTTGATCTGTCCACTTCCTCTTATCTTCTTAGGAGAAGAGAAGACTAAAGCCAGGCATAACTGATTTCAGATATTTTGAGGTGATTGTGGGGATTTCCCGTGTGAGCCCCCATAGGAGGAGTAAGAGGGGGAGACCCAGGAAGGGCCAGTAGGTCTACTCTGGGGGCTGTCCTTGCAGGAGGCGGCTCTCCCCCCACATCTGATGCAGATCTTTCAGGGCACACGATGCATTTTGGAGACAGGGTGGCAGGGTCGATTACCCTTAAGGACTCTTCCCAAGAAAAGCAAATAGAAGATGTTAGGAAATTGGCTATAGGAAAAATTTCTCAGACACTCTCATTAACTTATCAGTCATCAGTCACATTTCATTCGTGTAGACACACAGAACATCCCATTTTATTTTGTTTTAGTTTTGTTTTGGCTGCTTGGGTCACACCCAGTGATGCTCAGGGGTTACTCATGGCTCTGTACTCAGGAATTATTCCTGGCAATGCTCGGCCATTGTACTGTCACTCTGGCCCCTAATACCCTGTTTTAGTTTTTTTTATTTTGCTTTTTGGTTCACACTCGGTGATGCACAGGGGTTACTCCTGGCTCTGCACTCAGGAATTACTCCTGGTGGTGCTCAGGGGACAATATGGGATGCTGGGAATCAAACCTGGGTTGGCCGCGTGCAAGGCAAACACCCTACCCGCTGTGCTATCGCTCCAGCCCCTGTTTTAGTTCTTTGAACTTACTCAGAAAGGCCAGCTTTTTTTGTGGGGGTGGGGTTGTAACACCCAGTGATGCTCAGGGCTTACTCCTGACTCTTCACTCAGGAGTTACTCCTGGGATACAAGGGATCGAACCTGGGTTGGCTACATGCATGGCAGTCACCCTACTTGCTATACTATTGTTCTGGCCCTTGACCAGCATTTTCTCTTGTTTGGTCCATACCTAGCAGTGCTCAGGGCCTGTTCCTGGCTCTGCACTTAGGGATCATTGTTGGCAGATCTGGGGGACCATATGGAGGCCAGCAGATTAAACCCAGGTTGGCCGTGTGCAGGGCCATCCTTTCTATCTGCCCCCACCTCACCCAAAAGGCTGCTCTGATCACATAGAATTATGGAGCCGTTTTGTGTTTGTTTGTTTGGGAGAGTCACACCCAACAGTGCTTAGGGTCACTCCTGACTCTCTTGGGGTGGTGGGGTGTTCTCCCAGAGGTGCTCAGGTACAGTACAGTGCTAGGGATGGATTTAACCAGGGCTCCTGCATGCAAAGCCTGTGCTCAGATCGTTGAGCTATTTATCTGGCCCAGGGGCAGTTTTGACAGAATATCCCTGAAATTTTTCTTTTTTCTTTTTCTTTTTGCAGAATTTAGGGGAATAATAATATCACTGAGGGCTTTCACATGCCAGGGACTATACTAAACACTTTTCATTTTTCTTCATGCTAAATCTGTATGGTCCATCGTTTTTGTTTTTTTTCCCCCCCTTTTTTCTAGATGAGAAAATCGAGGCTTAGTAAAGGATTTTCCTCAGGTTGCGCAGTCCCTGAGAGACACAAAGGAGAGTCGGGTCTCCTTTACTGTCTCCTGTGCTCTTGAGCATCAGTGTAAGCTCTTCTTTCCTAACTTCCCGCCCAGTCTTTGTCTTCTCCTGAACCTGCTTAGCTTCTGCCTCCCGGAATGCATCTGGTCAGAGTTGCCTGTCACTTCTTTCCTGAAGGAAGTTGCTTGCAGGTGCCCCCAGAGCCAGGTCTGCGGTGAAACGTCAGTGTGTCTTGGAAATTTACTTTGAAAGCACTCTCTGCATTTCCATATGCCCTGAGCTTTTCCCACAAATCCATTTTTTAAAAAAAAGTTTATTTTATGTTTATAAAGTTTTTTACAATAATTTATTACATTTAATATTTGAGCACCAATCCCATCACCAGTACACCTTCCCATCACCTTATTTCGAATGTTTCCACCCCGAACCCCAAACCTTGCCCCCAAAGTGGAGCCAAAATCATTTTAAAAAATTTATTATTCTTATTATTATTTTGGCTTTTTGGGTCACACCTGGCGATGCACAGGGTTACTCCTGGCTCTTCACTCAGGATTTACCCCTGGCGGTGCTCAGGGGACCATATGGGATGCTGGGAATTGAACCCGGGTTGGCTGCGTGCAAGGCAAACGCCCTATCCGCTGTGCTATTGCTCCAGCCCTGGAGCTGAAATAATTTATTTTATGTTGCTTGTTATGAATAATCCTGTAAAAATGATCCAAAAAAGTTTCCTTAGAGGAAAAGTATGTGAAAATTATTGTATTTCACCCTGGAGCCATTAAGCCCTTCTACAGGAGATGACTAACATGTTGTTAAAGGTTGAGTTTTGTGTGCTATGTGTGTGTGTGTGTGTGTGCGCGTGTGTGTGTGTGTGTGTGTGTAGTGCAATATATGTGTGTAGATATGTATGTGCATACACACACATATATACATCTATTTTCCTCCTGGGATTGGTTGCCTCCTACTTTAAACCCCCATCAAATGTGGTGTGCTACTCTTGGTACTTCCGTGGTGTAAAGTATGAGATGCTCTAGGAATTCTAAAATTTAAAATACGGTTATACAGCAGATTCACTTATGAGTGAGACTCTCCGAGCCTGTGGAGAGCGGCTGTGAGTGTGGCGGTGATTGAGTTCTGGAGGTTTTCGACTGCTGGGGCTCTGGTGGGGCTGGGAGGGAAGCTCACTCGTCCCTCTCCTGCTTGCCCCAGATGAGACAGCCTGGCATGGGGTCTAGAGGCATCTCTGTGGTATGTTGTTCTGTGTTGCTCTCTCTGAAAGCTTTATTTCTGAGTCACTGCAAACCCATTCTTTGTCGTTTCCTAGTTGATTTGGTCCGCTACCATCAGCCAACTAGCATGGTAACTGATAATGAATGTGGCACTTCTTTTTGTTAAAACTAGTGACAGACATGACTTAAAATTCTTATCAGACTGACTTAAAGCCCTGACTTAAAAAAATGATTGTTTATAATTTGCTCAGATAATTCACCTGCCCTAGCAAGTGCACCAGCCAGCAAGGCTAGCTTCCAAACTACCCAGAGGAGCAGAGAGGAGATGGGAGATGTGGGATAGATTTTCAGGTGCAGACAGGAAGGCGGCTGGGCTGCAGGGCCCGCCTGAGTGCTTACCTCCTCTGGTGTAGGTCCGTGGATGGCCTCCTGCATCCCCGGAAGCGGAACTCCCATGTACCCCTCTGGAACTATGCCGTGCTGCGTGGCCAGGTACGGGAGCGTGGGGAAGACAGAAGTATGCATGGGAGCGGTCGTCAGCCTGGCCACCCACTGCCAGATTTCTCTCTCCTAGATCTGTACCTTCTCTTTTTCTCTTTTGCTGAAAGCCAGTGTGTCTTTTTTTGCATCGTTTTCTTTTCTAGTTTTTTTTTTTGGGTGGGGGGGGGAAGCCAGGGTAGTAGGACCACACCCAATGATGCTTTCAGCACAGGGCCTATTCCTGGTTCTCTTGCTAGTGCTTCAGGGGACCATATATAGTGCAGGGGATTGAGCTGGGGTTGGCCATATGCACAGCAAGTGCCTCCCCCCACTGAATATTTCTCAGTTTCTTCATTGTTTTCACTCTAATTTCTTGGCTCTCACCTTGTCTTGAATATAGCTTTTTCTCTGATAGACTCCCCACAAGAGAAAGAATAATATTTAGGCTTTAGCACTGTAGCACTGTCCTCCCGTTGTTCATCGATTTGCTCAAGTGGGCACCAGTAACGTCTCCATTGTGAGACTTGTTACTGTTTTTGGCATATCGAATGTGCCACAGGGAACTTGTCAGGCTCTGCTGTGGGGGCGGGATACTCTCGGTAACTTGCCGAGTTCTCTGAGAGGGGCGGAGGAATTGAACCCGGGTTGGCCACGTGCAAGGCAAATGCCCTACCTGTTGTGCTATCGCTCTAGCCCATAAAGTCATAGGCTTTATGAATTTTTTTTTTTTGCCACACCAAGCCTTAAGGGGTTACTCTGAGCTCTGTGCTCAAAAATTACTCCTGGATGGCACTGGAGTGATAGCACAGCGGGTAGGGCATTTGCCTTGCATGTGGCCGACTTGGATTTGATTCCTAGTATCCCATATGGTCCCCTGAGCACCGCCAGGAGTAATACCTGAGTGCCTGAACCAGGAGTGAGCCCTGGGCATCGCTGGGTGTGACCCAAAAAGCAAAAAAAAAATTACTACTGGTGGGACTTGGGCCCATAAGGGACGCTGAGAATCTAACCCAGGTCGGCTCGTGCAAACCAAACGCCCTACCTGCTATGCTGTCACTCTGGCGCTGGCTTCGTGACCTTTTCCCCTTTATCCCTGACACTGTCTGGCATTGGTAGAATATTAAAAATCCTTACTGCCAGAGAAATAGCACAGGGGTTAAGGCACTTACCCAACACAGAACTGACCTCAGTTGAATCCCCAGCACTGCATGGTCCCCCAAGCCCTACTGGGAGTGACCCCTGCGCACACAGCTGAGAGCTGGTCCCCAAACCGAGCAAAGTGAAAAAGAAACCCTTACAGCTTGTATGAATAGAGGAAAGGATCCTCGCTCGGGCTCTGGGCTGAGCTCAGAACTTGTTTCATATTGGTAGCAAACAAGGTTCAGTGTCTAGCATTTGTTCTGGCTTATTTTGGGGGACAGCGGTGCAGTGGAGCTGAGCCCCACCTCCCATCTCCCACGTGCAGCCCTTTGAACTGTCTCCCACCCCTTATCTCACGTTCTCTGTTCACAGATCTTCATCGTGTACTTCATTGCTGGTGTAAAAAAGCTGGATGCAGACTGGGTTGGAGGCTATTCCATGGAGTACTTGTCCCGGCACTGGCTCTTCAATCCCTTCAAGTGAGTTGGCTCGGGGCAAAGGCCTCGGTTCTTTCCCTTCCCGTCCCTTCATTGCTGCTGTCATGACCCGGTCTCACACACATTACTGTGCTCACGTGTTATTTTTTGTTTGATTTTGTTTGGTGGCCACACCTGACGATGCCCAGGGTTTACTCCTAACTCTGTGCTTAAGGATCACTCCTGGGGACCACATGGGGTGCTGGGGATCCAACCCAGGTCAGCTGTGTGCAAGGCAAATATCTTACCCTCTGTACTACAGCTTGGGCCCCAAGGAAACCTAACTTTGTTGTTGTTGTGTTGTTGTTTTTTGAGCCACACCCAGCAATGCTCAAGGGTTCCTCCTGACTCTGCACCCAGGGATCACCCCTGGCAACGCTAGGGGGATCATAAAGGGTGCCAGGGATCAAACCCAGTACAGCCATGTGCAAGGCAAGTGCCCTACCCATTGTACTATCACTTCTGCCCCAAGAAACTTTTTTTTAAATTTTCAATTTATTATTATTATTATTATTGTTATTATTTTTGCTTTTGGGGTCACACCCGGCTATATACGGGGCTTACTCCTGGCTTTGCACTCAGGAATTACTCCTGGCGGTGCTCAGGGGAACATCTGGGATGCTGGGAATTGAACCCAGGTTGGCTGTTCACAAGGCAAATGCCCTACCTGCTGTGGTATCGCTCCAGCCCCCGAAATTAAATTTTTATAAAACAGTTACGTCCCTCTGATTTTTCTCCTCCTCCTGTTTTCTCCTTTCCTTTGTTTTACTTTGTTCTTTTTCTTACTTCATGTTCATTTCCAGTTACCAAAGGGGGGTTTTATTAGGCTGTTAGTTAAACATTAAACTTTCTGTAGTCTCATGTATGCCCCCGTGGGGAACTGGGCATCTGACCTCACAAGACTTTGTCTTAAACTCTGCCTCAGGAGACCTGCCTTTGTTATGTAGTTGAAAAAAAGTTGGACATGGCCGGGTGCGGGGATGGGAAGGGGCAGGAACATGGCTGCAGGGTGTCTTATCTTCCTGTGGAGCTTTTCTCCCTGCGTGCTGGGTCCTTTTCTCCTTTGGCAAGGCCGGGGAGCAGAGGCCCTTTCGCTGTAAATGTGCTGACCTTTTTCCTTGCTGTCTGCAGACTGGTGCTGTCTGAGGAGATGACTAGTCTCCTGGTGGTACACTGGTGCGGACTGATGCTGGACCTCTCGGCTGGTTTCCTGCTGTTCTTTGATGCCTCAAGACCCGTTGGCCTCTTCTTCGTGTCCTACTTCCATTGCATGAATTCTCAGCTTTTCAGCATAGGTCAGTACCTAGAGTCTGTTTGGAAGCTGGAAACCAGGGCTGGAGCCGTAGTCCAGTGAGTAGGGTGCTTGCCTTGCATGTGACTGATCTAGGCTCAATCTCTGGCACCCTGTATGGTTCCCTGAGCCTGCCAGGAGTGCTCCCTGAGTGCAAAGCAAGAAATAACCCCTGAGCATCTCTGAGTATGGCACCAAACCAAACCAAAATAAAAAACCCCCGAACCTGGAGGTTTTTTAGGGAGGGACTAGTGAGAAGCGTTGTTTGGGAGTGGGAAATAGGAACCGAAAGGAGCTGAATGCAATCTCTGTGGAATGCATATAATTAGGGAGGAGAGGGTTGGGGCTTCTGGCACTTTCCTCCTGTTTTTCATCAATTTGCTCAAGTGGGCACCAGTAACGTCTCCATTGTGAGACTTGTTACTGTTTTTGGCCTATCAAATATGTCACAAGTAGCTTGCCAGGCTCTGCCGTGCAGGCGGAATACTCTCGGTAGCTTGCCCGGGCTTTCCGAGAGGGGCGGAGGAATCAAACCCAAACGCCTTACCTGCTGCGCTATCACTCCAGCCACCACCCCCAGTAACACACCCGAACCTGAAGGCTCCCCCCCACCCCCACCCCCAATCCCTGCTTCTGGGACCCAGATCACAAAGTCCTCCCCTCATGCAAGGGAGAAGAGCGCTGTGCTGAGTATATTGTATAATAAGGAACTCAGGAAAGTAAATTCCTGTAGTTCCAGATTTCTTTTGTAAGTGGAATTCTTGGGAGAAGTATCCTGAGGGAAGGGGGGCTCCAGCAATTCCCCATGTTTCCCCGACACTCCAGGAACACTTCTCTCCCCACCACCTTCCAGGTATGTTTTCCTACGTCATGCTGGCCAGTAGCCCTCTTTTCTGCTCTCCTGAGTGGCCTCGGAAGCTGGTATCCCATTGGCCCCAAATGCTGCAAGAACTGGGGCCCCTGCAGGCTGCCCCTCAACCCAGTGCTTCTTGCATATACAAGAGGAGGCGGGCCAGAGGCAGCCAGAAGCCAGGCCTGCGCCATCAGCTGGGTACCGCCTTCACCCTGCTCTACCTCCTGGAGCAGCTATTCCTGCCTTATTCCCACTTCCTCACCCAGGTAGGACATGGGGCTGGGCTGAGCTTGGGGAGTGGCAGGAGCATCAGTGGGCGGGCATGCTGGCACTCTCAGCAGAGGGCCGGGTGCACATGAGAGCCCCTGAGCTGACGGTCTCTGCCCTGCTTCTCAAGGGCTACAACAACTGGACCAACGGGCTGTACGGCTACTCCTGGGACATGATGGTGCATTCCCGCTCCCACCAGCACGTGAAGATTACCTACCGCGACGGCCTCACGGGCGAGCTGGGCTACCTTAACCCGGGGGTGAGCTCCTGGTGTGGGCACTTGATTCTCCTTCAGCAGCACCCTGAGCTTTGGGGTCGGTCCCACTTTCTTTTTTTTTGGCTTTTGGGCCACACCCAGTGGTGTTCAGGGCTTACTCCTGACTCTGAATGCAGGGATCACTACTGGTAGTGCTCAGGGAACCTTATGGGGTGCCTGGGATCAAATCTGGTTGGCCACGTGCAAAACAAGTTCCCTACCGGTCGTACTATTGTTCCTGACCCTGGGGTCCCACTTTGATCCTAAGCATAATTCATCATAAAATGTCTGGAGTCCATTTTGCCCTTTCTCGGGCGTTGGGTTGTGGGCTGAAGTAGGGCCATGTTGGTGACTTCCGTGAATTGAGATTAGATTTAGGGAATGGAAGTACCACTAGCCCAGCCACGAAAAGTCCACCCCCCCCCATTAGATAAACTAAGTGTTGTGGGGTTTTTCCAGACCGCTCCAGCCACCTGGTCTCTGTGCCAGCAGCAGCCCCTGACACCCCACCTCCCACCCTCTGGGGGAGTGGCGGCACCACACTGGGACTAACGCGGGGGTTTGGGGCAGGTATTCACACAGAGCCGGCGATGGAAGGATCACGCAGACATGCTGAAGCAATATGCCACTTGCCTGAGCCACCTGCTTCCCAAGTACAATGTCACTGAGCCCCAGATCTACTTTGATATTTGGGTCTCCATCAATGACCGCTTCCAGCAGAGGTGGGCATGGGAGCGGCCAAGGAGAAATGGTGAAGTCCAGCTCCTCTTTGCCAAGAGAAGTAGCCTGTGCTCCCCCTCCTAGAGTGTGATGTTGCTTGAAAGGCGTTTTTTCCCACTTTGGTGCATGTTCTCTGCGGACCTGGTTGTGGGCATCACTGGTTTCCAGCAGGGGGCGCTAGTGTCTAGAAGAGAAAACTGACTTGTTCTTTTAGACGCTGTTAACCCGATTCTCCTCAGGTGGCCACTAACCCCCTTTCTTTTCCAACACTCCAGGATCTCCTCTCCCTCCTCTCTCTGCCCAGGACTGATGAAAACTCATTGACATAGGCCATTCTGTCTGGAAACAGTGATGGAAGTTCTGCTGGGCGGGCGGCTGTGACATTAGAACCTGATTTTCTTTACAAAGGATATTCGACCCTCGTGTGGACATCGTGCAGGCCGCTTGGTCTCCCTTCCGGCCAACCCCTTGGCTGCAGCCACTGTTGATGGACTTGTCTCCCTGGAGGACCAAGTTTCAGGAAATCAAGAACAGCCTGGACAACTACACTGACGTGGTGTTCATTGCAGATTTCCCAGGTCTGGCAGGGAGCAAGGAGATTTTGCCATCTTCCTCTTCCGGCTTCCCTTGGCCAAGACCCGAGTGTGGTACAGGGAGGAGGCCCGCCGGTGGGAGGATGAACCCTGAGGGGGTGGTCTCAGGGAAGGTGTGATGGCTCATTTCTGGTTGGGAGCGAGTTCCCTCCAGCACGGGTCGGGCTGGCATCTGTGTTGCTCCTGACAGGGCTGCACCTGGAGAATTTTGTGAGCGAGGACCTGGGCAACACTAGCATCCAGCTGCTCCAGGGGGAGGTGACTGTGGAGCTTTTGGCAGAACAGAAGAATCAGACTCTTAAGGAGGGAGAGAAAATGCAGGTATTTTGCTGGAATTCACAGTGGCACAAAGCTTTGATGAGTGGAGTAGTGTTTTTCGGTGGGGGGAGTTGGGGTGTGGGCGGACCACGCCTGGGGATGCTCAGGGATCACTCCTGGCTCTGTGCCCCAGGGATCACTCCTGGTGGTTCTCAAGGGACCCAATGCAGTACTGGAGATTTGAACCCAGGTCAGCTTTAGGGAAGGCGAGTGCTTTACCCACCAGAGTGATGATAGACTTAAAATGTTTGACCATAGGAATAATTCAAGTGAGCCTCAAAAAACAAGGGCCAGTGGGGTGTGAAGAGCCTCATCTTGGATTCTAGAGGCTGGTTACTCCAACATACAACCAGAAGATGCCTGGAGTGGTGGTATAGGGAGCTTGGAGACTGACTTGGGAAAATTTAGAGTGAACTAGATGTGTTTCTTCCTCCTTGCTAGTTGCCTGCTGGTGAGTACCATAAGGTGTATACGACATCACCCACTCCTTCCTGCTACATGTACATCTATGTCAACACTACAGAGGTCGCCCTGGAGAAGGACTTGGCATATCTGCAAGAATTGAAGGAGAAGGTGGAGAATGGAAGTGGTATGTAAAGGTTTAAGTAGAGATAGTGCCTTATTAGAAGAACAAGGATTTAACCATTAAAGAATGAAGCTGAAAAAAAGGCACAAAGAATTCGAATTCTCTGTGTGGTTCTAGGGGAATTCTGAGAGAATGATCTGTGGTTCCTCTTTTTTTTTTTTTTGCCATTTTCTGGGCAGAAACAGGGCCTCTACCTCCAGAGCTACAGCCTCTGCTGGAAGGGGAAGTCAGAGGGGGCCCTGAGCCAACTCCTTTGGTTCAGACCTTTCTTAGACGGCAGCGAAGGCTCCAGGAGCTTGAACGTCGGCGGAATACCCCCTTTCACGAGCGGCTTCTCCGCTTCTTCCTGCGGAAGCTTTATGTCTTCCGTCGCAGGTGAGTTTTGCTATGGTGTTTGTCATTTCCCTCAGATGTTTGCACGCTGGTTAATCTTGAGGGCATGTCTGGGTGGGGTGGGGCTCCCAAGTGACGCTCAAGTAGCCCAGGAGCTGCTTATTCTTGGCTAACTGGGCTGGCAGGTCAATGCAAGAACCCTGGGATGAGGTGCTGCTTGGGCCCTGTGGTTCTGGGAATGCCCTGGCCACCCCAGAAATATTAGGGGCTTCCAAGGCCATACTCAGCAGTTTGGGGTGGGGAGGCTCTAGGGTGATGCTTGGGTGACCATGTGGTGCTGGGAGTTAAACCCTGGTTGGGTGCATGCCAGGCACGCACTCTAACCACTGTACTATCTTTCGGTCCCCAAGCTGAGTAAATTTCCTTTAATGAAAGCAGCAAAGGACAATCTAGCACCAGGTTATCTTTCCTCTCTCCGTTTTCTCCCCTTTTGGTGGGGGAAGGAAGCGGGCACATCCAGTGCTCAGAGACCACGCATTACAGGGGTTGAACCCAGTCCTGTATGCAGAATATGTGCTCAGTCCATTGAGCCACCTCCCAGCTGCTGCTTTCGCTGCTTCAGTGGGAGAGTAATTGAGTCGCATTTGATGGCCTTGTTTGGCCACATCTTAGCTCAGCTTCACTGTGGGTTGTCCCTGATGCCCTCTCCTGGACTGTGTAAAGAGGGATGTGCCTTTCCAGAGAGGATGTGGGATGTGGGATCATAGCTGTTTCTCACGCCCAGTGAGAGGAGATAGAACCAAGTGCCTGATAGGGCTTTGGCAGGCTACCTATACTGAAACAGGAGTTTGGACACATCACCTTTTTGTCTTTTATTTCCATGGAAATCTTTAGTAAAAGGCAAAATATTTAAATGACCTGAAGAGAGACTGGAGTATTTTATCTTTTCCAGCTTCTTGATGACTTCTATCTCACTTCGGAATCTGGTATTAGGCCGTCCATCCCTGCAGCAGCTGGCCCAAGAGGTGACTTATGCAAACTTGAAGCCTTTTGAACCAGTTGGAGAGTCAAGCCCTCCAAATACAGATTCTTCAGATTCTAATCCTACTGAACCAAATTCTGACCATGTTCACTCAGAGTTCTGAGAGGGCCACACTGGCCACAGATACAGAAGCAGTCACAAGAACGTTCATTTTACATATACAGTAGAAATTTGAGAAAATAATTTCAGGTATTTTTTTTTTAATTTCCTTTGCTTGTCCATATCCATTTTCAATTAGCTTGGAGGAGCCAAGAAATGAAGCACAGTTAAGATTTATCAATCCAAGGTTGAGGGGTCAGGAAGGGATTAAAGATAGGTTTTTAAGTGATTGACTTGCTAGTAAGCAAGATTCAGTGTACCATGAAAATCATAGCTTTAAGGCTCTCACCTTGCAAGCAGTTGACCCAGAATTCCTGGTATCCCATATGGTCCCCTATGCACTGTCAGGAGTAATCCTTGAGCACTGCTGGGTGTGATCCAAGCTGTTATCAAGTGGTTGCTGTGTGCTTAAAGCATTGTGTGAAGCATTACTGCCTGTGTTATTGCTGTCCCGAATAGTCCTTACCGCTCCATTTTCCAGTTGGAAAAAACCTGAGTATTTGTTCAGAAACAGACCATATAAAAAATGGACTGATATTGGGACTGGAGCGATAGCACAGTGGGCAGGGCGTTTGCCTTGCACACAGCTGACCTGGGTTCGATTCCCAGCATTCCATATGGTCCCCGGAGTACTGCCAGGGATGATTCCTGAGTGCAGAGCCAGGAGAAACCCCGGAGGGGAAAAAAAAAGTACTGATAATATGAAGCTCAAGCCTGTTTGACTTAAGGTTCTACACCCTGTACCTTGCGATTTTCAGAATTACTGAGAATTTTAAAATGAGGTTTAGGGCCAGAGAGCTAGTACAGGAGACATGGCACTTCCAGTGGTCCCTTAAGCATGCTGGGTATGGCTTCCAAATCCACAAAATAAAAAATGTGGCACAAAACGTGTCTTAATTATAAACCATGTGTTGAATAGATTCGAAATTCAGTTCCTTTTCACTGCAGTTCTTTGTTCTTATCTAGAGCTATTTTTTTTTTTTTGCTAGCAGTTCAATAGAATAACAAGTCCACTAACACAGGAAGTTTAGAGGACTTCTCTAAAATTAAACATTATTTAGCATTATTGTAGCTGTAAGCAGGTAATGTAAGAGTCAAACAGAAAGGATTGTTTTACAGTCACTTTGTAAATTTCAATGTGCAAAGGAGATTCAGGAAACTATTTTGTGAAAAATCTATGGACTGGTACTGGGCTAAGAATACATTGTAGGGGCTGGAGAGCTTTTACAATGGGTTAAGGCACTTGCTTTGCACATGGCCAACCTGGGTACAATCCCCAGTACCCCATAAGGCCCTCCAAGCCCTGTCAGGAATAACCTATGAGTATTGCCAAGCATGGCCCCAGAGCTAAAAAAAAATTTTTAAGATACAGCAGCAGGCTCTTGCCTTGCATGTGTTGACCTGGGCTTGATTCCTTGCACACCATGTTCCTAAGCTCTGCCAGAAGTCCTGAGCACTGCTGGGTGTAGCCCAAAAAGACAAAATAAAAAGAACCAATGCAGTTTTGTTTCAAAACCTCCTAATGGTTCATGGCCTTACAGCTGACTAGTACTAAATTAAGTCTCAGTAAACATGATGAAAGACTTCCCATGCAACTCTACCATACCAAGTATTAGGGGTCTTTCCTAGAACCTACCTTTTTCACTGCATATGCATGGTTTAAGTGTCCACACACGGTTACCAGTGATGCTGCTTATGTCTTAACACCTATATAGTGAAATTAGCTCCACCTGGATGTCAAAGCTGTAACTGGTAACAAAACTTATCTGTCTCCAACTCAGATCTGCTTCTGCTAATGGCAACTATTATCAGTATTGGTTATTTCTATACTTTCTTTTTGGTAATACCCAGCGACACTTAGGGCTTACGTTATGTTAGCAATGGAAACAAAGGTTGGGTGCATTCAAGCAAAGTGTCAAATCTGCAGCACCATTTCACAGGACCCACATTTTTACAACTTCAAATCCCATCGAGCATACTTTGTTTTGGGCCATAATTGGCTGTGCTCAAGGCTTATTGGCGGGGTCATATAGGGTGCCAAAGATCTAACCCAGGATGGTCCTGTGTAATTATTCCCTCTAGCCCCAACTTCTTGATTACTAAGCTCACCTCTATCCTTTTAGCCTCTGTTATCTAAACAAGGGCCCCTCACTGAGGCCAAATGTACCTAATAACAGTGGATTGGGTAGGGAAGACAGCGCTGCCATTAAGATTTTTCTGTTCCCATAGTTCCTCTCCCCATTTTTGATGAGAAAAATTCATGGGGGTGGGAGGAGGAAGCTCAGGGTAAGGTATGTGCATTGCAGACAGCTGACCCAGTTAACTCCCAGGTACCACAGACCCTTCTTCCCCCATCACTGTCAGGATGGACTCTGAAGGCAACTAGGTGTGGCCCTTAAATGAAACCACTCCCAGCGAACAATGAGGAGGTATTGGTCTAAATGGGTCATTTTAGAGGAAACTGCCCACAATTCAAACTTCAAGAGCCAGGTGGTCACACCTGTGTTGTCCTATGGCATGAGGTGCTCAGCCTTCTTTCACCTGTCCTGCGTAGTGCCATTGGCTGAAGACCTCAGTGAGGACAAACTGCCAAACCAATCTTTGGAGAAGGTGTAAGCATCTTCATTAAAATTGTTTGTATTCTGCTTTATGAGCATGTATTTGTCCTTTAAGATGAATCAGAAACTGGCCCCTCATGACTATATTGTTATACTTACAACCTATAACACTTGGTTTATAGGAAGGGGTTAATCAAAACTTAAGGGCTATGAAACACTTTCAAGTTAGTCAAAACAGGAAAAGTAACAGAGTTTAAATTTCTAAGACTGGACTTCACTTCCTATTTCTATGTTGCTTCTAATGTCCTTTAATAACCAAAAAAGTTACAGTATGGCAGAGGCAGCTATAAGGAGGTTTACAACTAAAAAATGCAATGCTGTGAAGTGAGATCTTGGGGAGGGGATGGTCTCACCCCGGAGGTGCTCAGGAATCCTACTCATGGCAGTGCTTGGATCATATGTAGTGCCTGGAATTAAAGCAGAGTCAACTATGCAAGGCAAGTAGTTCCTTTAATCCCCATAACATCTAACCTCTAAAATGAAACCTTAACCTTCCCTTTTACAAGTGGACTTTAAATGTCTGCAGAGGGTTTGGACAGTTCTCAAGTACAGGTGGAATTAATATGTATCATGTTCTCAGGTCACATTCAATGCCAAAACACTTTTGAAAAATAATGGAGACAAATTAAGGTAGAACCTAGCATTTTATTAGATCTTCATTAAACTGTTGGAATTGAGAACCAGACATACGTAATAAACCTCCAAAAATAGATCCTGAAAGGCACTTTCTGCTTAGGGCAAGCAGTCATGGAATAAGCATGTAAACAAGCTGGCTTCTCTGTACCACACCAGCCAAGTCCGCTTTCTCCATGGCCAGCTGCACCAGCTCTGCCCTCCCTTCTGTTAACACCAGCCAGACCCCCTGTAGGTCTAACCCAAGGTTTTTCTGTAGGACACCTTGGCCTACCTGGGAATGCTGGAAACATGTTAAAGGAATCATGGTGTCGAGGAAAAAAAAATCTTTTAAAAGCTGCCATCTGAGGTGATGGCTTCTCTGTACTTACGCCATACCCCAGAATACAATAAATAAGCAATTAGAAAATGTTCAAGTATGAAGGGATTTTCTCCTCCCCGCCAAAAGCACTGCTCTCTGAAGGAAGCTGGTTTCTCTGTAGCTACACCAACTACTCAGAAAGCTCATTGGACCTGGTTTTGAAAATAAAACAAAGTTAAAACCCTGGGAGGAGCTATTGTGCAGTGTGGAGTACTCAGTCTTTCTTATAAAGAAAAAAAAAAAAGTTATCTGGTACCAAAGTGTGCAACCTACAGACCTCAGGTATTGCCCTGTGACTTCTCTGTATGACACCACAAGGCTGCCAAGTGCCTGTTTTTCTAGAGCTAGGAGTTGGTGGTTTGGCTAGTGCTGAAACCATGCATAGGATTGGTTTGCTAAATAAAAACCTTATTACGTACGTCCTCCAAAAGACAGCTGAAAGTGGAGAGATTTTGATTTGGTGCTGTTTAAGAGATGGCAATTAAGAGCATAAGCACCGGGAGATGGTTTAATGGTAACTGCCTTTCTTTTTTAAAGTGTCAGGCTAGAGCTCCAACTGGAACTTGCGTTACATGCAAGATTGATTGGATAGGGAACACTCCCTGACAAAGAGCTACATAATTAGAAATGGATCAAGTTATAGGGAGGATTAAGAGAAGGCTTTACATTCATAATAGAGCTCAAGACATTACAAATTCATGCTGACAGGGCTGTGGCATTGCCAGACAGGCTATAATGGATCTACAAATACTTTACGTGCACATTACAAGGACATCTTCAGCATTTGGTGGGAAAGTCAATGCTACTAGCGTTTTTAGAGGGTTGGGTGATGGGGCACAAAGTTTCAATCTCAAAGCATTATTTACTACAGTGCTGTTGGTTTGTTTCTAGGCAGTTACATGGATCACCTATGCTCACTAAATTCATTATACTGGTGAACAAAACACCTAGGGACAGAGTAGCAAGCCCAATTTACAGTCCCCCACACAAGCTAAAATTCATGTCATTGACTAGAGTGACCTGCAACTGATCAGGAGCTGAAAGAGGACAGGTAAATTTAGGAGGAAGGGCCCTTTCCCTCAGAGCTTGAAGGCTTCTCTGTAGCCTACGCCAACAAGTCTGGGGAAAAAAGGCTAACACTTTCAGTATTTAAGCTTTTTGGGCACTTCCCATGGGAAGCTGTCCCTACCAAAGTGGCCATAGGCTGCAGTCCTCTGATAAATTGGCTTCTTCAGATCCAGATCCCTGGAATATACAAGTCCGTAACTTAATATGTAGCATTCAATTAAAGCATAAAGCAAAACAATCAGCAAGACTCATTTTCAAGAGTTCTGGCAAATGAGTTCAGTTCTCTGGGATATGCTAGGAAAGAAGTTTGTGGCAAAAGTATGTTACTTCCTGGTGTCCAAACTCCTTGCACAGTCCTTATTAGTAACTATAGTTCTCGTTTTTCCATCCCTGGCTCAACAAATATGAAAACTTGTCATTATTCTGAGAAATATCAGTGTCAGAAAAGCTCATCTGGTATCATAGAATACTTACCAAGGTTCCATGCCCACACCCTACGCCATGTTTTTTTTTTTTTTTGGTAACAACATTGACCATACCCCAACCACCACTTATCTTTACTATAAGTAAACATCTTTAAATAGTACAACCCTAAAGCCACCAATTTCAAATATGACATTGGGAACTTTCTAAGTTGCAGAGCATTATAATGTAAACTTCTTTAAGCCTCAATGATTCCAACAATTAAAAAGGCAACAAACCCATTAGGAAATACTCTCCCAATTGTGTTTTCCTTCACACCTTCACCTCTTCAGACTTGTTATTTTACATCCATACACCCACACCCTCAATGGTTCACTAGCAATAGGCTTTACCATCTTTACCTGACAATGACCCCAGGGCGGAGGTCAAAATTCTTCTTCACAATCTCTAATAGCTCTCTCTCACTCTTCTGAGAGGTGCCATAATGGAAAATGGAGATAGATAATGGATGAGAAACTCCAATAGCATATGAGACCTAAAAGGATGCAAATGTCACAAGTCAGAGATGAAGACTTACATTTGGGTATGGCACTTCTTTAAAAACAAACACCCTCCCACTGACATGCCGTTTAATCAGTCCCAATTTATTATATAAAAGAATATATACCTGAACAAGAACCCTTCTGCACAGACCTCCTTTAACAAGGGATTTTGCCACCCAGCGAGCAGCATAAGCAGCTGAACGGTCCACCTTGGTGTAATCCTTTCCTGAAAAGGCACCTCCTCCATGAGCTCCCCAACCGCCATATGTGTCCACAATAATTTTCCGGCCAGTCAAGCCAGCATCACCCTGAAATCACAGTATTTATTTACGTCACTTTATGACTAATCCTTTTCATTACTGTTTCTCAGATCAAGTTTGTTAAATGCCTAGTCTGTATTAACCAGCAAATACCCTCAAAAGTCATTGCTAGGCTTTCAGAAAAATCCAGAAAAAAGTGTGATGGTAGCCACAACTCTAAAATAATCATCAGGAGATACATAAATATATACAGATTACAAAGTCTTACCTGAGGCCCACCAATAACAAATCTGCCACTTGGTTGTAGATGATAGATTGTATCCTCATCAAGGTATTTTGCAGGCACAACAGTTTTGATGACCTTCTCCTTTAGGGCATCCCTCATCTCATCAAGACAAACTTCTTCATCATGCTGAACAGATATAACAATTGTGTGGACTCTAATAGGAAGCACAGCTCCTCGATCCTGCATATACTGCACAGTCACCTTTAAAAGACAACAGATTACAGAATATAAGACAATAAAATGGCTTTGTTCTCCCTAACTCTACCCTAAGAAAGTAACAGAAAACCCAGTAACAAAAAAAAAAAAAACATTAGAAAGGAACCAAAGGAGCTGGAGCTAGACACAGCAGGTAGCATCCGATAAGGTCTCCCAAACACCGCCAGGAGTAATTCCTGACCCAAAAAGCAAAAATAAAAGGAACCTAAAAATTAAAAAAATCTTAAAACACCCCAAAGAAGCAGTAAAATCAGACATCTTCATAAAAAAAAAAGTGCTGTACTATTGCATTGACCCCTAAACTCAGCTCTGATGAAACAACTTACAAAAGCCCTAATGCCACTGTTAACATGTCACCCAATTTTATTATCACTTACTTGAGTTTTGGAATCTGGGCGTAGCCAAGGCAAAGTGCCATTTCGGCGTAGTTCAGCCAGCTTGGCATTTAGTTTGTGTGCTAAGACAATGGTTAAAGGCATACATTCTTCAGTTTCATCAGTGGCATAACCAAACATCAAACCCTAAAAAAGGAAGCGCGACCAGTGTAATCAATCCAAACTTTCAAGTTTAATAACATTTAAGAGTTGTGAGTAGTTTGTCTTCTATCAAGATACCTGGTCTCCTGCACCAATGTCTTCCTCATTTCGGTCAAGATGAACACCTTGAGCAATATCTGGTGACTGCTGCTCCAAGGCTACTAGCACATTACAAGTCTTGTAGTCAAATCCTATAAATGAAAAGCCTTATTTGAAAAAAGTTGACTGAGAATGTCCTCTATTTTCAACATTTACCTGAAAATCGAAATACCACGTAAGTCAAACATACCTTCATACACTGTTCAATGTCGGAACAAAAAGGATAATCAAACTACACAACTGGAGTTAGAGTTTAGAAAAGACAACTCACTAAAACACACCTTTTGAAGAATCATCATATCCAATGTGTTTAATGGTTTCACGAACCACTTTCTGGTAGTCAACAGCAGCTCTGGATGTAATTTCTCCAGCAAGAAGGATCATCCCAGTTTTAGCAACAGTTTCTAATAAAAGAGGTTTTAAATATCATTTTTGGAAAGAACAACTTTTTTTATGCCCTCCTTCCCATCACTTGAGTGTTCTGAACCTACCACAAGCCACTTTGGCATCAGGGTCTTGCTGAAGGTGGGCATCAAGGACAGCATCACTGATTTGGTCACAAATCTTATCTGGGGAGGGAAAAATCTAGTTTAAATTTCCAAG